AGCCAAAAGAAAAACCAGTATTCCACTTATCGTGTTATCGGTAAAAGTGCACGGCGACGACGGCGACGACAGACGCAGATGATGGCTATATGTACAGACACATCTGTGTCTGTACATAAAAAGCATTTCAGTTCACATTGCAATGAGCAGTGAATAACAAAATTTATGCACCTACACACATAACTGAATCCTACAAAGTTTCAGTCACCTGTAGTATCACATTAGGAGTAAATAATTATTATCCCGCTTCACTTGGTGTTTTTATTAAATAATTGTGACATTTTCCCCTTTTTTTTGGACAAAGGGTGAGCCAAACTGTTCCCTAGATTCAACAGCTTTCATTAAACCTTTTTTCTGAAACACTATCACTGTCAATGAAAGAAGATTTTCTGTCATCATTTTTGGTCATCTGCTTTATAGTGGATATGATGTCTAAAATTTCTTCACAATTTTTAATGAAAATTTCAGGAAAAACTTATTCTAAACAGAATAAATAGTACTAGTTTCAATTTCAACTGAAAACTGGTATCCTTATATTAAGGTTTTAACTTATTAATGTATGTTCAATGAACTTTTGTTTCTGTTGCCCATTTCAGCAGTCTCCTTGTATTTTGCAGTCTGGAGTACTAGACAGTCTAATTTCAAAGTCTTTGCACCCAGTCAACAAAGAACTTAACAAGAAGTTTGACTGGTCAGAAATAGTTAGCCATCACAGTAATGAACATTTAGTATAGGGGAATTCAGAACAAGTTGATCCACAGACTAAATATGGCCGACCCCACTTAAAAGCAGTGTCACTTAATCCCCTGATGGTCTCCCCACCGCCACACAGATGCTGCAGGTTTAATCTGTTTAATGGCACATCGTGTGGAGGTGGGGAGACCATCAGGAGATAAAGTGGCACTGCTCTTAAGTGGAGTCAGCCATATTTAGTCCGCGGGTCAGTTACTCTGTGGATCCTCTGTTCTGAATACACTCTATGTATTTCCAACATATTACTGGGAATTGTCATCATCCAGAGCTCTTTCTAGTTTTTCCCAATCATGGGCACTCACCATATAACATGGGTTAACATCTCTTAGTGTTAATGGTACATCACTCTTGTTGGCATTTTCCCTACAAATCGGAATTACAAAAGAATTCTGACCTGAGTCATGTCTGTGATGGATAGCATGCCTCACTTCAAAATCATACCATTCGTCTTTTGGTTCTCTGCCTGAAATAATAACTAACACTTTTAAGCTATTTTTAATGCTTTCCAATATGGAATCAGTAATGGTTGTACCTGGAATAAAATCTCTCTCTTTGACACAACCCTTAAATCCTTTTGTGCCCTCCAGAGTAGTTAATAAATGTTTAGACACCCAGTCCGAGTCTTCTTCTGAGTAAATAACATAAAAGTCATACAGCTTTCCTTTCTTGTTTTTAGCATTGCAGGGAGGTGGAGGGATTGATTCTGAATTGGAATCACAACATTCAAATTTCTTATTGTCTAAGATCAAGTCTTTTTGTGTCATATCAGCATCTTTGGTTTTCTTGTCCTCTGTGCATGGAGCAGGAGCAGAACTTGACTCCTCACTGGAAGATGGCGGAACAGGAGGTGTCGGAGGGGGGTCCTGTGCACATGGCACCACTTGTTGGCTTTCACTGCTCCTCTCTGTTCCTTCTGCATTTTCAGTGTCTTCTGTGGGTCTGGCCACCCTGTCAGCCTACAGTGGAAAAGAAAAAAAAACAGTCACATAAACCTAGACAGAATCAAAAGTCTTCTGGATTTTTCCAGATATTTGGGTGTCATTTTTTACCTCTAGCACTCCCCCATAACATTACACACACACACACACATGAAGAGCTGTGAACATTTGGCTTATGTATTTTCAAGATTGTTTGAAAAGTCACTTTTACAGAATCAAACACAACTAACACATGTAAGCTTCATTACCATTACCTTTCTCTCGAATTCCTTATCAACCTCATCAAGTTTCCTTACATATCCTGAGAAGAATTCCTTCAGATTACTCCCACCAGGGAAAACCTGAAATTACAATATTTGACATTCCTTTTTACCAGTGCTTTATTATTCATTCCAAGTAATAGTTTAAGAACTCCATCCCCCTTTTTTTAATCTTTTTCTGGAAGCATTGTAATTGCTCTGAAATATAAAATTTATATAATTTAGTAACACTATTTGAATTTAATGAGAAATTACCAAAAAGATGACAGCTACGAAGTATACCTGTTGAACTGCTATTTTATACATGTGTAAATGATTGAATCTGGTATCTACTAAATATATTGTATAATCTTTATTCTCATCGAGCACATTCAGGACAGATGATCCATGGACTACCTGATCAACGGCCAAAAATGGCTGATCACACTTAAAAGCTAGCTGCTTAATTCCCTGATGGTCTCTCTGCCACCACACTCACCATTAAACAGATTAAATCTCGGCTCTGAGGTTTAATTGCTATGCCCCCGCATCAATGGCATGTGTGGAGGCAGGGAAACCATCAGGGAATTATGTGGCTTCCATTTAAGTGGGACCAACCATAATTAGTCCGTAGACCTGTTAGTCTGCAAATCAATTTGTTCTGAATGCATTCCCAATAAATAGGCACAAAATAGTACTTTTCTATCAACCCTTAGCAAAATGAAAAGTGTGCAGCATGTGTGCTGCAAATGTACCCCACATGTGCAGCACACTCTAGAGTCTGCAGTAGACAGCTTTGGGGAGTGTGCAGAAGTGTGAGATAAAAATTCTTTCTTGCTGCACACCTACTGCACACTTCCATAAGTACAGATAGTGTGCAGAAAGTATGCAAGAGACTTGGTATTTTAATAGAAGCACGTGGAGAGTGTGCGATAACCTTAAAATTTGATCAAGAGTATGCAACAAGAAATGTATGCATTTTCAGTGTCTTTGGTATACAGAAAATGTAATTTTTCTGTCATGAGTGTGCAGAAAATGTGCAAGACACTTGGTTTTTCAACAGACGTGTGCAGAAAGCATGCAATAAACTTACATTTTCATCAGGAATGTGCAACAAGTGTACAGGAAACTTAGAAATTTTAAGTTGTGTGAGGTGAGTGTACAGCAAGCTTTCAATTTTATCGGGGTATGCTATTTTAGAGTAAAAACCTTATCATTTGATTATTTAATATATTCCAATTATTTAATATGTCCAACAAACAAATCAATAACATTATGTAAAGCTAGTTATATATATATAAATTGTTTTGTTCTAACAAACTATAGTGTTTAGCTTACTCAAAGTATGAGAATAAGTCAAGGGCAATATAAGTTTAACAACATCTAATAGAACAAGGCAGAAAAGCTGTCAAATGTACAGACAAAAAACAGAAAATAAAGATGCAAAATAGGTCATTTTGTCAATTTTGATGCAATAATAAAAATGCTTATAATAACACAGTCAGTTAACACTGATTTTTAATCATGCACAACAGGTAACATGGTCAATAACAGGAGCAGATCCAGAGATATATTCTGACAGTATTCCAAAGTATCTTTGTTAATCCATCCTCCACTTTTGATGGTCTTCCAACAGAAAAAAATTGATACCAGTCAATGTAAACTTTAAAATCTGACCGTCATCTGAAAGACCCAGAAGACGGCCTCAATCCACCCCTGCAATAAGATTACAGTTACTGGACCATGAGAGTTCAAATTCACATAATGAAAATCCCAATATTTGAACAAGGCAGCAAAGCTGTCAAATGTACAGACAAAAAACAGAAAATAAAGATGCAAAAAAAGGTCATTTTGTCAATTTTGATGCAATGATAAATAATGTTTATAATAGCACTGTCAGTCAACACTGAATTTTAATCATGCACAACAGGTAACATGGTCAATAACAGGAGCGGACCCTGAGATATTTTCTGACAGTATTCCAAAGTATCTATGTTGATCCATCCTCCATTTTGATGGTCTTCCAACAGAAAAAAATAGATACCAGTCAATATAAACTTAATAACCTGTCTTCCAGAAGACCCAGAAGATGGTCTCAATCCACCCCTTCAATAAAATTACAGTTTCAGGACCATGAGAGGCCAAAGTCACATGATGAAAGTCTCAATATTTGAACAAGGCAGCAAAACTGTCAAATGTACAGACAAACAAAACAGAAAACAAAGATGCAAATAAGTGAAAAATTAAATTTTCACAAAAAACTGTTAAATTGCCAGAAAAATTTACCAAACAGACTGCATTGCCTATTGAAGCTGTATGTTAGACCCATGTTTCTTTCCTGTAAGTTTGAGAACAGTAAGTGACATGATTTCCCTTAAATGGTCATCATAGGAGCAGTGCCCAAAATAGGGGTTTCTTCAAATTTTGATGCAACATTACATAATGTTGAACAGCATGATGACAATCAAATGTTATTAATAAAATATTAGTAACATGGACATTCAGAAAATGTGACAAGCAAAAGTCTTCAGGATCATGGAACTTTAAAGTCACACCTTGTAAATACCAATATGTGAAAAATTAAATTTTCACAAAAAA